CTCTTGGTCTCCCCCTGCTTGCGCTCTCCCTCTCTCTCTGACAAATAAATAATAAAATCTTAAAATGAAATGTAAACTTGGCCCTCATACTTCCTTACTTAAAATTCTTTAGGGTTTTTCCATCCTCTGCAGGATCCAAAAGCCTGTCCCTACAGCCTCAGATCTCCTGCCACTTCCCTGCCTACCCTGCAGGGAAAACTCCAGCTAGACTGACATTATGCTTAGGTCTTCGAATGTTCCATGGGGATGCATGTCTCTGGGCTTCTATAGACACAGTAACCTCCACTGGAATATCCTCTCTCCTCTGCTACTCTTCCTTAAATCTCGACTGAAATGTCACCTCTAGGAAGCCTCCCAGTAGTGCTGAGTAATCCTCGCACAGTAAAATGCACAGGGATGTGCATTTTATTCATTTCAAATTCCAAACCTTTATCAGGGCTGATAAGGTCCTTCGAGATCTGGCTCCTGCCCACCTCTCCACCCTGTCTCCTACCACTCTCTGCTCCACCCACTTCACCCAGTCACACCGGCCTTCGGACTGTTGCCGAGAGCACCAAACGGCTTCCCACTTCTGGGTCTACGTTCCCGCAGTGACGTCTTCCTAGAATGCCCTCCCCTAGATCTTTCCATGGCTGGCTCCATCTTGACATTCAGATCTCTGCTCCAGTGTCACCTCCTCAAGAGTCCTTCCTTGCCCAAGCAATCAGAAGTAGTCTTCCCTCTCCATTTTTCTCTCTTATAATACCATATTCTCTTCCCTTTGGAGCACTTGTCACAAGCCATAGCTCTTTCTCGTTCAAAATCAGCCTTATTGAGGTCTAATTTGCATAAAGAAAAGGCGTACAGTTAGATGAGTTTTGACAAATACCCATATATCCACCACTCTACTCAAGATATAGAGTATTTCCAAAACCCATTCAATTTTCCTGATCGCTCTTTCCAGTCAACATCCCCCAGCCCCTACCCGTCCAGGGCCAGCCCTAGCCAACTGCTTCTCTACTTCCGGTTCCCATGGCTTTCTTTTGCTTGTTCTAGAATTTTATTTAAATGTAATCATATGGTATGTGTTTTTTGACCTGGCTTCGTTCACTCAGCCTAATGTTTTGGAGGTTTATTCCAGTTGTAGTGCTTATCAGTATTTGTTTCTCTATTACTGAGTTGCAAGTGATTGTATGAATATTCTACAATGTATCTATTGGCCTGTTGATGGACACCTGGGCTATTTCCAGTTTGGGGCTAAAATAAATAAAGCTGCTCTGACAATTCGTGTACAAGTCTTGTGTGTGAACATCCTTTTTTATTTCCTTCAGGTAAATAACTACAATGGAGATCGCTAGGCAGATGGTAAGTGTATGTGTAATTTTATAAGATACTGCCAACCTTTTTTCCAAAGTGCTTTTCCATTTCACGCTCCTACCAGCAATGCATGAGAATTCCAGTTGGTCCGTGTCCTTGTCAACACTTATTACCAGTCTTTTCAATTTTTAGCCATTCTAATGGGTGTATGGTGTCATCTTGTGGTTTTAATTTACATTTCCCTAATGGCTAGTACCATTGAACAACTTTTCATGTGCTTATGAATATTTGTATATTTTCTTCTAAGCTATTTGCTAAAATCTTTTGCCATATTTTAATTTGGTTGTTTGCCTTCTTCTTATTGAGCTATATATTTCTCTGTATGTTGTGGATGCAAATTATTATCAAAAATATGTATTGCAAAAGTTTCTTCTATTCTGTGACTTACCTTTTCATATTCTTAATGCTGTCTCCGCCCCTTTTTATGATTAGTTTTACCTGTGATCTAAGAAAACTCTGCCTATCCCGAGGTCATGTAGATTTTCTCCTATGCTTTCTTCTAGAAGTTTTATAGTTTTTCTTTATTAAATACTTAGTTCTTTGATCTATTTCAAGTATGTTATGAAGTAGGGATTGAGATCCACTGTTTTCCTTTTGGATATTCAGTTACTCCAGCATCATTTGTTGAAAAATCTATCCCTTCAACCGTAGTTATTTAAATTCTGTTTTCTTTTTTTAATTATTATTTGTCTCTCCCACTAGACTACAGGCTCCATATATTTGTTCTAATTTAATCTGAGCTCTTTTCCATCCCTGCTACCTCCTTGCAGGGAAAGCAGAGAAAGAGCTTACTTGCAAGTCACTTCTAGACCTGATTCTAGGGGGCAGGAGCAGGGGAGTGGGGACAGCGGATGGGAAGGAAACCAAGCCAGGACATGGTGTGCTTTGGAGCTGGTCACTGCTGCGGGGAACTGGGGCTCCATCCTGCAGGGACCGGCTGAGTGCACCTCAGAGCCTCCACCCAGTGTCAGAGAAGGGAGCAAATATCTCCCAACTCCAGCTCCGTTGGTCAGTGGTTGCCCCAGCAGGATTAGCCTCCCCAGACCAGCAGACCACGGTGCTCGAGGTCAGAGAGAAGCCCTGGGCAGAAGGCAAGAGCCATGGGGAGCAGCTAAGCCAAGGGGTTTTCACCTGCTCCAAGCTGGTTGCCAGGATGCCAGATGAGTAAAAGGTGGGTCAGGAGGATGCGCGAAGGGTCAGAGTTTCTGATACACGCTCATTCATCAAGTATTTATCGAGTGTCTCCTCTGTGCCAGGCATTGTGTTGAGCAGTGGAGACAGTCATCCAAAAGCCAATCCCTACCCTTGGGATGGAGACAGACAGCAACCGATTCAGGGACTGTTGTATATTCCACCAAGAAGAGGTCAGTGCCATGAAGAAAAACAAAACGGGCTAAGAGAATTGTGAAGGTGAGTGCAGGGATGGGGCTTATTTTGACCATCAGCAAGTTTCTCCGAGAAGCTGAGGTTAGAGAGTGAGAGAATGAGCCATGTGGATACCCGAGGCAAGAACATTCCAGGCAAAAGGAACCACAAGCGAAAAGCCTTGAAGGAGGAACTAGCTTAGGGCGTTAGAGAAAACAGGAGGTCGCTGGGGCTGGAGCAGAGCTAGGGGCAGAGCCTCTAAGAGGTCTGGAAAGGCCTCAGAAATGAGTTTGAATTTTATTCAATGGGAAGCCATTGATGGGAAGCCACTGAAGGGCTTTAAGAAGTTCTAACAGTCTTATTGATGACTTAAAAGTTATGTGAGACACCGTTACACACATATTAGGATGGCCAGAATGAGGAAAAAAAAAAAAAAAAAAAGGAGGCCGATCGCCGGATGGGCAGGTTGCAAAGCCAAGGCCACTGTCACACGTGCTGCTGGGAGTGCAAGGCGGGGCGGCCAGCGAGCAGAAGAGGCCGGGGATTCCCCAAAAGATAAACTTAGACTTAACTGTGCGACCAGCGATCCCACTCCTACGCGTTTACCCAAGTGAAATGAACCTTACGTTCACATCCAAACCTGTACACCAACGTTTGCAACTTTATGCATCATCGCCAAAAGCCAGAAATAATTCACATGTCCTTCAGCTGGTGGACGGCTAGCCTGGGGTCCATCTGTGCAAGGACACTCCTCAGCCACTAAAGGAGATGGACCATTGAGAATACACACGACAACCTAGACAGACCTCAAGGGCATTATGCTTAGTGAAAAAAATTCCATGCTGTGTGATTTCATATACAAAACATTCTCAAAATGATAAGACTGTTATAGAGTTGGAGAACAGGTTAGTGATCCCCAGGGGACAGGGAGGCATGAAGTGAGCGTGGGTGTCCGTACAAAGAGGCAGCAATAGAAAGTCCTTCCATGATGAGGTCACAGTTACCTTCCTTGGATGTGGTGGTAGATACACAGATCCATACATGGGATTTAAGTGCATAGAACTATACATACATCCATGAACACAAATGAGTACAGGTTATAAAATGGTGAATACAGAATAAGGTCTGCAGTGTAATTAACAGTAATGTACCAAGGTCAGTGCCCTGGTTTGGATATTTTCCTACAGCTCTATATAAGATGTATAAGATCTATATAAGATGTCACCATTGCAGGGAGCTGGTTAAATGGTACACAAGACTAATTTTTTGCATCTTCCTGTCAGTCTATAATTATTTCAAACTAAAAATTTAGAAACAAAACTGTGACAAATGGGTAAAAAGTTACAAAAGACTTTTTTGAAACGGGACACTTGCAAATGGATGGGTAGTAGATGACACTTGAGAACTGATGTCACCTTTCTCAGTGTGACATGCTTCTCAGTTGTCCTCATTCTTGGGTAATACGTGTAAAGTTTTAGAGGGGAAGTGTCAGTGTCTACCATGTACTTTCAAATGGTGCAGCTAATATATGCCTATGTATACACATCATTTTAAAATATAGCAAAATGGAAACAATTATTGAATCTAGGGAGTAGGTTTATAGGTGTTCACTGTATTATTATTTTAACTTTATATTTGAAAATTTTTGTAATAAAAAGTGGAAAGAAAGAAAAAAGGCACAAACTGCTGATGGGTACAACAATCTGGATGACTCTCAAAACATCATGGTGAGTAAAGAAGCCAGATGCAAAAGGCTACATACTGAAAGATTCCGTTTTGTGAAAGTCAAAACTATTAGGACAGCGATGGAGGATTGGTGACTGTTAGTGGCTGGGGATGGGGGAGGGGCTGGTCACTAAAGAGCAAAGGAAAATTCAGAAGGTGATGAACATATTCTATATTATGATTGCTATGATGGTTCCATGACTGTGTCTGTCAAAATTCATAGAACTTTACACTAAAAAAAAAAAAGGTGATTTTAACGTGTGTCAATTATACCTGAAAAAAAAAAAAAAGAAGGAGAGGAAGTTATCGTGTACGGAACTATTAAAAGCAAGCTACATGAGGGTAAAATCCTCTCTCTCCGAGACTTGTTCACTGTGCTTAAAACACAGTTGGCATCTAATAAGCACTGAATAAATATGAGCTAGTATGTGCAGTAAGTTTTTTCCCCCAGTAAAGGCCCTGCGTCACAGGGACCGCGTACTGAGCCGTGGGGTGTGGCACAGGCTTGGCACAGAGCACCTGCCTGATGGGTGATGTGGCTTCGTCTTACTCACGTGGGTTTGACTTTTCCCCGTTGCATCATCAGGAGCAGCGAGGTCCTTCAGTGTCTTGTATTCTGGTGCTCTCTGGCTGGAGGGAGCTCTGTTGGCCATCTCAGGGGCCAGCGACAGCCCCAGGAAGTGACAAGCGGCTGCTCCCACAGACGTAGGTAAAGGAATTTCCCTTTCTCTGGAGACTTGTCAATCAAAACCAAACTTCCTTCTCCGGACTAACTCCTTTTAAAGAGAAGGAAGAACTTATCAATTCCCTTTGCAACGTGCTAAAGCCTAACGTGCTAAGTAAACATGACACATTGTTTTCCAACATAATAATAACCACCACTTAGCTTTCTCAGTGCCAGGGCCCTTTATGGGTACCGGGTTAGTCTCACAGCAGTTGAATGGGGTGGCTACTGTTAGGAGCTCATCGTACAGGTGAAAGAGCTGAGGTTTGGAGAGGTGAAGGGACTTGCCCTTGGCCACATCCTGGGGTGCTCAGACAGCTGACCCTGCACTTACCTGCTCTACCATGTGGCCTTTCACAGAGCGCCTGCCCTCTTGAGCCACCCGCCCTACTGCTGCTCAGGGTACCACTTTTATGTGGGTTCAGCAGCGCCACGTGGGCCATGGAAGTCTCTTCCTCTGGCCCAGAATGGGATGATCTCCCTTCTGTGGGGTGAGTACTTGCCTCTAGGTCAAATATGGAAGGCGAGGGGAGGAGGGGGCGTGAAGGAAGCCAAGGGCAGGGAAGAACATGCAGAAAACACCAGATGCTCTTTCTAACTTTAAAAAAACACAGGCATTAGAGAACAGAGATTTTTATCACAGTTTGTTAGAAGGGGGAAGAGCAGGCTGTGTAGTAAGAAAGGGCTTCTATCCAGACCTCAGAATTGGGACCGAGTCCCGATGATAATGACAAGAAAGATGGTAACGATGACAATAGTCACTGACGTGGTGCCAGGTGCTGAGCTAAACACTCCCCATGAATGACCTCAGGTAGCTTTTCTGTTTTTTTTTCATTTCCATTTTCATATTAGAAAATGGAGGTCCAGAGAGTCCATACACGAACTCATAGACATATTTTCATACTGTACAGATTCATATACATTGAACGAGGTCAGGAGGGACACTCATGAAACTTAACAATAGTAGTTACCGGAGGAGGGCGGTGAGTGTGACAAAGGGGGAGAGCTTTAGCTTTTTATTGAATTGTGTAATATTTTTTACAATGGGAACGGTGGTGGTACCCGTGGGTGTGTACTTAAAGAATGGCCAAAAAAAAAAAAAAAGATGGGAGGTTGCAAAGGTTGTGCCGGAGGATCCCATAACTAATTTGGAGCAGAGTCTCTCAGAAGGCAGCTCTCAGTCCTTACCCCCTACCCACCCCGCGCCACGCCTTTGCAGGAGAGAGCCCTTGGCTCCGGCCCCCACACTCCTGATGGTGCAGAGAGGGGAGGAAAGGACTTTTGAGAGGTGTCGGCTTTCCCTGGGCTTTCTGGGGGGACTGGGCAAGTTGCGCGTCCCGGGCCTCCGGGGAGCGGGTCGCTCGGGTTCCAGCCCCCGGGCCCGCCCACTGTCACGGAGTGGACTCCCGGCCAATCAGACCCGGGTGATGGCACGCCGGGGATGAGAGTGGCAGGAAATCAAGGTCAAGGCCCCCGGACACAATGAGGCCATTGTCGGTCTCCAAGTCAGTTGACTTTCGAGCAGCAGTTCCCCATCCACCCTAGTTCCTTCTCCCCAGCCCCGCCCCTTGCCAGGAAGTCACCTGAACCCACTATTTCTTTTTCGGCCCCCGCCGGAGGGCAGCCGCATTCCGAGTCCTACCCCAGACGGGGGAGCCGGGCCGCCCCCTGCATTGCGTGTTATGGCCACCAGGTGGCGGTAGAGCACCACACTTCCGAGGGCGGGGAGCAAGGCCCGGGGCCAGCCGCTCAATCACGGATCAGGGCGTGGGGGACACTGCCCTTCCGTTTTATCCACAAAACTAAGTGAGGTTATACTTTCCCTTCACCTTTTACTCTGAGGTCACCAAAATCTGGAAACTCAGGGGCTTTTCTCTCAGCAAATGGCAAAATGCCCGTGGGCTGCAGCACTCTTCCTCGATGGCCAGGAAAACTGAGGGAAACCTCTTTACTACGCACATCACAGCAGGTGAAACTGACAAACGCTGGGCCATGTTGCACGTGTCACTTAACCTCTCTGGCCTGGATTAATCAACTGGTTGATTAATTGATTATGTTAGGGTATAAACGTTATCTGTGAAAGGCCTCCCCGCTGTCTCAACGATGTCCTCCTATGTTGTTCTCCCGCAAAACCGGCTGTAGTTTTCCTTCTGGGCATGTATCACAATTTGTAATTGGATACATCATATTTGTCTGATTCTTTCCCAGTAGAATATATGCTCCGTGAGAGCAGGGTCTCGGTCTGTTTTTTTGTTGACCAGTGCATCCTTGGCGCCTAGTACAGGATCTGGAACATAGCAGGTGTTCAGGAAATGAATGAGGGCCCTAGTAAGCCCCCGGGGGGGTGGGCTTCCGGTTCCTGACAGTCCCACGTGCCTGAATATAGTGCCTGAGCCCCCTGAGCAGGTGGGACCTGCCCCAGACTATCAAATTAGAGAAGCTTGCCCTGACAGCAGAGAGAGCTTTGGGGTTAAGACTTGTGCTTCCAGGCTCTGGCTTCACAATCTCACCTCAACCCCTCACATGCTGGGCCATTTTGCACGTGTCACTTAACCTCTCTGAGTTTCAGCTTCCTCACCTGTAAAATGAGGATGAAAATGGCCCCTGTCTCTGGAGGTCGTTTGGGGGATTCAGAGGGATAATCAGGGAGGGGGCTTGGCCCAGCGCCCAGGACACAGTAAGCACTGGGTGGGTATTAGGCAATATCGTTATTGCTGTTGGCCGAAGCCCGCGTGCTCAAGGCAGGTGCCGGCCGAGGTTGGCAGTCTTGGGCCGAGAGGGCCCTTGCCCTGGGACCTGCCCCTTGGCAGTTCTGGTTTGGTTTCTTCTGTGAACGGGCATAGGAATTTGAGGCTGGTGGGGGCCCGTCCCTGTCTCCAGCGGCAGGTCTTATCCTCTGATGGGGGCAGAGCTGCCTCTGCTGCAGTCGCCCCTGGGGACACCCTCTTGCTGCCGCTCAGCCTCCCCGGGACACTGTGGGTCCAGGCAGGCCGTCGTTTACCTTACACGTGGCCCTAGGGGCGGTGATGAGCAAAGGGGCAAAGCTAACTTGTCTTTGCCCTCAAGAAGCACCCAGTCCTGGGGGGAGGGGGGGTGGAGACGGTGATTAAAGCCACACTTAGCACTGCAGTAAGGGGACAGGACCTCAGGAAGCCATCTGTGAGTTGGGAGCTGAGGGATGGGAATGAGGAGGTATCAAGATCCGCCCCCCCCCACCTTAAAACAGCCCCTTCTGGGGACTGCTCCAATCACCCAGTGGAACACCAGGCCTGTCCTGGGCCAGGCAAGTGGTCGGAAGGAGTAGACTAAAAACAAATGAACCCCGACGACACAGGCTCCTCCTGAGATCCGCTGCCCTTCCCTTGTGTCACTGGGTGACGGCCCCACACCATGTCAGGTCCCCAGCTCCAGCCCTGAGGAAGAAGGAGGAGCCTTTCAGGGCGGTGGGCAGGAAAGGCCTTCCACAGGCAGAAGGGCCTATGAGGGGGGAGCCTGGAGGCGTGCTGGCGCGAGGTCAGCATCCCTGGCTGCCACAGGGAGTTTTATGGCCCCTCTGCACAGTGGGCCAGGGGTGAGCCGGTGGCTCTGAGCGCCCTCACACACCCGCCACCAGCAAATTGGGGTAGCGGGGGAGCTGAGAGCATGGACTCTGGGGGCCCAGCCCCGCTGCGTCACCAGCTTCGGCAAATTACCTAACCTAAACTTCAGTCTCCTTGCCTAGAATAGCACCAACCCTCCTAGGGTGGTTTTGAGGGTTTAGGGAGATAATACATGAACTCTTCTGGCACAGAGTGGGCACTTACTAATCGCAGGCATAACTGTTACCCATTCTTTCATGAGCTCCTTTATCACAAGGTTCTGCCAGTTTGGAGATCAGGAACCTGGGATCCAGAGAGGTTAAGTAGCTTGCTTCGAGTCTCGGGATTTAAACCCAGGTTCCTTTGACTCCAAAGCCTGTGTTCTTGGGAGGTGAGGGAGGGGGTGTCAGGGGTCCCAGGCATGGTGGGGTCGGAGTAGGAAGCAGGGCGAGAACCCCCAGGGCAGGTAGGGGGCTGAGGCCACCTACAGAGCCCTGGCATGCCGTCCTGCCAGGCCGAGCCACAAATCTCTGCTTAGCTCTGGCCCCAGGATATTGTGGTGCCCTCTCCCTCACCCACTGTGGCCTGTTGGCCTGGACCCCTGCCCTTCTCTTGTTTTCTGGGCCAAGGGCAGTATCTCATCTCACAAGTGACCACAGCTTCTGTGATGTGGGTGTGCCGCTGCCGCTGGCCAGGCTGGGCCCAGTCGGTGGGCCAAGCAGGGCTCAGGCCCCATCCGTGTGCCCGGCTATACTGCCCCTCGCTCGCTCCCCTCCCCGTGACATACCCAGGCAGTCCCCACCTTGGAGACACCGTGCCAAGTGTGTTACAAGCACAGTGAACAAAGCTAAGGCAGGTAAGATCTTGGCATCCTGTGTGTTTTAAACAAATACAGGGTTGGGAGCATTGAGCCCACCCTGCTCCCTCCCCAGCGCCGGAGGGGTGGGCCAGGACCGGGGCGGGGGCAGAACTGGGCTCAAGATAAGTGGAGGTCAAGAAAGAAAGAAAGAAAGAAAAAGATAAGCCGAAGTCAGATGGGCCGCAGAGCGCAGAGGATGCTGCCCGGTAAGGCCTTGGGTTTTCGGGGGTGAGCTGGTGTGGTGTGGCAAGAGCGATGTTGGTCCAGCTCCATCCACCCTCTATGGGCTTTGGAGTCAGTCAGACCTAGGATGAGTCCTGACGATGTCACTTAGAAACTGTGTGGCTTTGGGAGGTCTCTGAACTCCTCTGAGCCTCAGTTGCCTCATCTGTAAAATGGGGTTCATTAACCACGCACGAGGTTTGTGAGGATTTTAAAAGACAAGGAATGGAAAATGATCTGATGCCCCTTGCTCTGGCTGCCGCCGTGGCTCCGACCACTGTCCCTGACGATGGCTTGGAGATGAGACCACACAGAGTTGCACAGCTTGGCCAGCCTCCAGATGGGGGTCAGCCA